ATTTCTGATAAAATTGTGTGCTAAGATTTTTTGTAATAGGCGAAAATACATGCAATTATTCGTTATTACACGTAGTAGAAAGATTAGAACGTATTTTTATGCTATCCGCGCTCTTTGAACTCTTCTCCGCACACCTGCCAAATGCTCGATTTTTTGAACATGCAGAATAAGGGTTCTATTTGCCTAATTTGTGGTGTAAAAGTTTCAACTAGTCACTGTGTACCTCAACATTGCTCACATATTTTTCATCTAAAATGTCTTGAAGGTTGGATTGAATTGCGTAAAGACGACGATGAATTTCATTGTCCTGTGGAGCAATGTGGAATCAAATTCTCCGAAATACATGTGAAGAAGATAATTGGTGGTCCAATTTTCAAAAAGATTAGTCTAATTGAGACTGCTCATTGCCCTATCTGCTGCGAGCCCATCCAAAAGCCGGTTGCTACCCCTGAGTCATGTAATCATAGTTTTTGCTACGCATGTCTAAAAGAGTGGTCCAAAGTGAGGCATGAGTGCCCATTAGACCGCGGGACCTATGATCTTATATTACTCTCCAATAAAGTTGGTGGTCCTATTATTGAAAGAGTGGGTTGTCTGTTCTCTTCGTTAACCAAATTCACACTTAAATATTAAAGCGTTCGTATCACAAATTCTCCGCAATTGCATTCTTTAGAATTATATGGGTGTTTTAATACTTATTAATGATATCTTGAGTTTATTTGCACTAGTTATTAACCTCTCGTCTGGTATCCTATATATTTATTCATACTTACCTTACACTGCCTTATCAAGTTATCATAGATTACATTAATTTTGTTTTTATATATCAACCGCCGATTTTATACTAATTTAAGGCAATATTCAAGTTAAGCTAAAAATAGATTGACCATTGTAAATCTAAGCCACAATTACAAGACCCCTTGACTAGTTACAACGAAGTCCATATATTTGCTGATCCCCTTATTTACAGACTATAAGTTCACAAATATTTTAGTGACGTACATTTGCAGTAAATTTCAAATGATTTCATGTTTGAGCCAATACGCTGGACGTGGTTCGTAATTTTTCCTCGTATATTCTACATTTTACTTATTCTATTTATTTTATGTTGTCGTGTTTTTTGCCTTTAGATCTCGTGGTTCTTTTTATTAAGTAGCTCTAGATGTATTGTCTGAATAATTAAGGGAATCGGTATTGATGGAACTTTGTAGAGATTTGGGTGAGTAAATTCGTCTTACTGATATGATTGGTTGGGTGTCGTTCTAGTGCTCATGGAGATTCTACTGAGTCATGCATAGAGTTTAGCAAATAAGTATTCTACATCATATTGTTCATTTGAAGAGCTAATCCCATCTTTAAGGGAGATTTAATTTTATGACTTCATAATAAAGTGTATTTTACCTTTCCATCGCTTACGAAATTAAAAGCTTGCTTATATACAATTTTTTATCTTTCCTGTGAAGACCAGCAAATTAAATCAATTATGGAAACTTTTTTGCTTATTGTTAAAGCTTTTATATTCTGTCATATGATTATATCTCGAAATGCCTTTTAATTTTTTGGTAGCTCAACAATCATCTAAAATTGTTTGACTCTACTTTTTCCGCTTACATATTTTAATCTAGGTCTATGCTCCAGAAATAAAGCAAATTGTGCAGGAAGTGTCAGAACATTCTGATGGAGACAATACATCGTGTGAAATATGCCATCAATCTTCTGATGAAGCGCACTTGCTCCTCTGTGATCATTGTGATCGTGGATATCACACATATTGCCTTCCAACTCCCCTCAGAACTATTCCGGAAGGTGATTGGTATTGCCCGGATTGCATACGACTTGGAGTGGTTCAGCCCTCACAGCTTCATGTGCAGTTTAGACCTAGGCAAAGAAGAGCACATTTTGAGGATAGAGAGGCATTGGAAGACTTAACACCCTTTAGCGATAATGATTTAGATAGCTCCGGTGAGATACATTATACTAGACGATTGACCACTCGACAACAAATGGTTTTACAAAATCGTGCAGAATCAACACATCGTGGTAGTGCCTTGTTGCAGGATGTTATCAATCGTTTAATGGACCGAACCATAAGTGCGATCAATCATAGAGCTAATCGTCGCTCTAGGCAACGCTCATTAGTTCAAAGGCAACTAAATGCTGAAAATACACATCCAGTCGAAAGTGTACAAACGAGGCTTCGTGATGGTTCGACGAGTGTCGAAGTGGAGGTGATTTGACCTTATTTTTACTTTATGCTATGCATATGAATGCTTAGTGGTGAATTTTTATGTATTTGTAATAGCTTGTGGGTCATTCGCAACGATTAACCTGGTTATAACTTACTTAATAAGTGACAGTTTATTTATTTTTAATCTATTAGGAGGCTGATTCTAATTTTTAAATATCAATTTTGACTAGTTTTTTTGCCAGCTCTTTCTACGATTAATTTAAGAGGATGTTTGATTTTTTGCATCCTTACATGCATCCTACAAGATCCTTAAATCAATCTCTTTTTGTTAGCAACTCTATGAGTATTTAAGCCATGGA